ACAAAGTGAGCTCAAGCTCAGCCTGAACTGCACAGTGAGATCCTGTCTCAAAAAGACAAAAAAAAAAAAAAAAAAGTTGTGGGGCTGCCTAATAGTATGGCTCAACTGCAGAACATTTGCCTAGCATGGACAAAGCCCTGGGTTTGCCCCCCAGCACCACCCAAAAAGAAAGAAGGAAGAAAAAGTTGCAATTTTTTTCCCCAAGTAAATGCATGGTATTACTTTTCACTTTTTTTTTGGTGGGGCAGGCTTTTTTGAGACAGGGTCTCTATGTAGCCCAGGCTGGCCTCAAATTCACAGTGATCTTTCTGCCTCAGTCTCCCGAGTGCTGGGACTACAGGTGTGCACCACCACACCTAGTTTATTTTTTACTTTTAAAGACTTGAGAGCTGGTACAAAATTCCCTATGACCATTGTTATCACTATGTATATCTAAAATGTACCAATTAAACAACACAACCAAAAAAACTAGGACGGTGCTGTGTATATGGTTCAGAGATGCCGGTATGGGGAAATGTAAGGGAAGACGTGTTCTCCCAGTAGGAGTAGGTAGAGGGGTATCAGTGAATTTTCTTCCTAATTTCTCTTTCTTTGTGGCTTGTTTTGTTTTGTTTTTTGTGGTATGAGGGATCAAACTCACGACCTTGTGCTTGCCAAGAAGACGCTTTGTGTTTATTTATTTATCAGAGCTGGGGAATTAAAACCAAGGCCTTACCCATACTACATGAGCGCTGTACTTTTTTTTTTTTTTTGGTACTGGGAATCCAACTCAGGACCTTGCACTTGCCAGGCAGGCGCTTGTGCCCCTGAGCCATATCCCCGGCCCGGGGATTTCTCCTTCTCACTCCCTCTCATTGCCCATTTCTGGTTTAGTTTTCAACATCTATTTCTCTTTACCTCACAATACCCCCGCCCCCACCCCCACCCCACCCCCAATCTCTGTTTTTTATTTATTTATTACTTTTTAAAATTTTTTTGGTCTTTTTGAGACAGGGTCTCGCTATGCAGTTCAGGCTGGCCTGGAGCTCACTTTGTAGCCCACGCTGGCCTTGAACTCACAATCCTCCTGCCGCAGCCTCCCAAGTGCTGGGATTACAGGCGTGCGCCACCACGGCTGGCCCCAAATCTCTGTTCTCAACAAAGAAGAGCTGATAAATGAAAACACATTAACTAAGGGGGAAAAAAATTAGAACTGCAACCAAGTCAAGAACACTGGAAAAGTGAATCTTAGGGTTGTATATTTTGATATAATTAAGAGGCAGAGTGGTAGCTCACACTTGTAATCCCAGCACTCAGGAGGCTGAGGCAGGATTGCCTTGAGTTTAAGGCCAGCCTGAGCTACACAGTAAGTTTGAGGCTAGCCTGGACTACATGATGAGACCCTGCCTCAAAAAACCAAAAAACAAAATAGTTAGAAGGCAGCTATAAAATATAGCAAGACCTCTACCGATGGGCTTGGTAGTGTATGCCTGTAGTCTCTCTTACCCAGGAGTTTGAGGCAAGAGATTACTTAAGGCCAGTAGTTCAAGACCAGCCTAGACAACATAGCAAGAGCCTGTCTCAGGAAAAAAATAGGTAAATGTATATTTATATTCTATATACTTATATATATAAATGTGACTATATACAGGAGCAGCTAAGTATCTTTCAGAGAACTCAAGTCATGGACAGAGGATACACTCAGTGCCAAGCCTGAGGTTTCTGCCTCTGAAACTTCACTCAAATCCACTCCCTCCACCCCAAGTCCCCAGCCACAGCCCCATTGCCTGCTTTTCATTTTACCCCTACTTACAACTCTGAGCTTTCCTAAGCTGCTGCTTCTGCATAAACACCACTGGGATAAGAGGAGTCAAGAGCCACACTGAACTCTCTACTCCTGCCTGAACCATTACTACCATGTGCCATGTGACCTTGGACTTTTTTGAGGGGACTGGGAATGGAACCTAGGTCCTCACACTCACGAGTATCTCCAGCCCTTTTTAAAAAAATTAATTATTCTGTCTTTTGAGACGGGGTCTCACTATGCAGTTCAAGCTGGCCTTGAGCTCACTTTGTAGCCCAGGCTGGTCTTGAACTCGCAGTGATCTTCCTGCCTCAGCCTCCTGAGTGCTGGGAATACAGGCGTGCGCCACCATGCCCAGCTTTATTATTTAAAACAGGATTTTGCTAAATTTCCCAGGCTGGGCTTGAATTTTTTTTTTTTTTTTTTTTTTTTTTTGGTACTGGGAATTGAACTCAAGACCTTGTACTTGTGCCACTGAGCTATATCCCCGGCCCTGGGTCTAGATTTTCAGTCCTCGCACCTCTGCCTTCCAGAGTACTGGGATTGCAGGTGTTCACCACCATACCTGATTTTTAACCTCGTAATACCTCAATTTATCTCAGCTACAAAATGGGAACACTAGGGCCTACCTCAGAGTTGCTGTGAAGATCATGCAAGTTATAAAGCACTCAGCGCCTGGCACATCATAAATAGTTGATGTTTACTGAACAGGAAACTCCTGCTCAGCAGTTCCAGCTTAGCCCTAGCTCGTTCTCTGAGACGATCACTCTTCCTTGTTTCACCCTGCCTGACCCGTGTCTATTGCAGTCCCTCTGTATTTTCATCCTACTTGCACATTTGACCGCCCCATTAGATCCTGCAAGTCATAAAGGGTAGGGACCATTTTATTCAGCTTCCCATCGTCAGCACCCAGAACACAGTATTTTCCTCAGGAGACAGCTTTCCAGGAACTCAGGTGTAATGGGGGATACACTGTGTCAACTTGAGCTTAGAAGTTTAACTAAGGGACTCAACAGAGAGCCACAGTCCTTACTTTATAAACATCCGCATCCTGTGCAAGAGGATCATGGAGACCGTGTGAATGCTACACCTGCCCTAGCAGGGGATAGCCTGCTTACAACATAGGGGAGCAAAAAGATTTGTTCTCTCCCCTCTACTTTTGTTCTTGCTTTTGCTGTCTTCTGCTGCCTTGAACTGTTGCCCTTGTGTGACTGACACCACCCTGCCTTGGAGCCAGCTAATTATGGAATGAAACCTCCACAAACTGAGCTACATAAACCTTTTCCTTCCTTGAGTGTTAGACAGGCATGGTGGCGCACGCCTGTAATCCCAGCACTAGGGAGGCTGAGGCAGGAGGATTGTGTGAGTTCCTGACCAGCCTGGGCTACAAAGTCAGCTCGAGGTCAGTGTGAACTGCACAGCGAGACCCTGTCTCAAAAAGACAAAAAAAAAAAACAAAAACAAAAACAAAAAACTTTGTCAGGTATTTTGTTTCAGCAATGAGAGAAAAGAAACCAAGACATCAGGTTAGCCCCTCGAAAACTTGTGTCACTTGGGTTACCTGTGCTTCCTGGACAAGCTATGGAGATTCGTGACTCTGTACCTGAGCAAAGGCTTCTCTATCTCCTCTGCCATCCACTTGATAAGTCTATTTTTCATCTTTTCTACCCATATTTTTCACTCAACAGTCAAGAGGGAGAAGCAAGGCATGGTGGTACAAGCCTATTATTCCCAGCTATTTGGAAGAGGAAAAGGAGATCACCAATTCAAAGCCAGCCAGGATCCAGGCGTGGTGGCACATGCCTGTAATCCCAGTACCCAGGAGGCTGAGGCAGGAGGATCAATATGAGTTTGAGACCAGCCTGGAATACATACTGAGACCCCGTCTCAAAAAAACAAAAACAAAGAAAAATTTTTAGAAAGACTGAGAAGTATTCAAATGTCTCTTTTTCAGTGAAATCATCTTTGCTTCTTCCCTTCTTAGTGAGAATTATTTATTATAAGCTTCTGGTACTTTTTCTTCTCTGTAGTACCGAGGATCAAATTCAGGGGCTTGCACATACTAGACAAGTATTCTACAGTTGAGCTACACCCCCAACCCTTATTCTGAGTTTTTCACTAAATTGCCCAAGCTGGCCTGGAGCTTGTGATCCACCAGCTTCAGCTTCTCAAATAGCTGGGATTACAGGCATGCAACACCCCTCTTTCCCTCTGCTAAAGAATCTATTTCTATTAATTACTTCTCATATATGTCTTTTCCCTCCATTCAGCAGATCTTTAAGAACCAAATTAGTTGTCAGGAATGGTGGCACATGCTTGTATCCCAGTAGTTGGGAGGCTGAGGCAGGAAGACTTTGAGTTTGAGGTCAACCTGATCTACACATACAGCTCAAGGCCAGCCTAGATGCATAGTCTCCTCCCACCCCCTAAAAAATAAAATCAAACTATGTGTTGAGGTCAGCCTCGACACAAAGCAAAAACAAACAAAGCCTCAGTAAGTAGAATTGTACATGTCATAAATCAACCAGTGTTTTGTTTTTTTTTTTTTTTTTTTGAGATACAGTCTTGCTATGTAATTCAGATTGGCCTTAAACTCACTATGTAAGTACAGACTGGCCTCCAACTTGTGGGGGTGATCCTCCTGTCTCAGCCTCCTGGGTACTGAGATTATAGGCATGTGCCACCTCGCCTACCTTGACTTATCACCCAGTTTATTTAAAATACTTTTTTGTAGGGCCATATCATAAAGAATCTTAGTCAGTAAATTTGGGCCTTAAATTACTCTTCACAGTTTCAGAAGAAAGAAAGAAAGAAAGAAAAAGAGAAAGGGAGGAAGGGAGGGAGGGAGGGAGAGAGAAAGAAAAGAAAGACAGAAAGACAGAAAGACAGAAAGACAGAAAGACAGAAAGAAAGAAAGAAAGAAAGAGCGAGCGAGCCATATCCATGCCCAGCTACTTGGGAGGCCTTATAAGACAGGAGCATTGCAAGTTTGAGGCCATCCTAAGGAACTTCACAAATCTGTCCCCAAAGGGCTGAGCACATAGCTCAGTAGTAGAGTGCCCCTGGGTTTGATCCCCAGTATCAGGAAGAAAAAAAAAGGAAAGAAACACAGGAATCGTATGGCATCTTCCTTACTGATCCTTACTGTAAAACTCATATTCTGTAAGCGTCCTTAGAAGGATAGCAAAAAAGTCCAACCTGCTGCGCGCAGCCGAGGTAATGGTAATCAGAGACCAGCAGAAATAGCTTTATTTGCACTGAAAGCTGGAGAATGAGCAGGACCTGAGAGAGTATATTGAGCCAAGGATAGAGGTAAACTTCTAAAAGTGCGGTCAGGGCTCATCAACCAAACAGACCGCTGTATTTGCAAGCAGGCTTGCGGTTAGTACAATCAAGAAAGGCCTGCAGGGAGCTGGGCGTGGTGGCACAGCATGTAATCCCAGCACTCAGGAGGCTGAGGCGGGAAGACAGCTGTGAGTCTGAGGCCAGCAGAAGGCCTGCTGGGAACTCTATTTGCCACTAAGTCACCTCAGTGTGCCACCACTCCAAAAAAGAGACAGGTTTTCCACTGTAATGAAACTTCCCCCAAACCTCCCAATTATAAATATTACAAAAAGAAATGCAAGAAAGATCCCATTTAATAGAGCTTAAGCTTGTCTTCAGCGTGCAGCTCAGAGATCTCACCATCTTCAACACCACTCCCTGCTACTCTTCAGCTACGGGATCTATCAAGCAGCCAGAGGATGGCCTTTGCCAGCCCATGGGAGCCACTTCCCATGTCCCTAGAGGCCAGGGCTGAAGAGCAGGGGAAGGCTCAGGAAGGGGGGGTGCAGGGCTAATTCCCCCAGCACAACGCGCGGCAGCTGAAGCTTGACGGGAGAGCAGGGCTGGTGAGACTTGAGGGAGGTCCAGGCCCTCTATTCAGTCAGAGTCACTGCTGGAAGAGGAGGAAGAGGAGGAATGCTGCAGGGGAAAGGGGAAAGGACACGGCATCAGATCCAAATGACCTTTGATCATTCCAGGGGCCATTCTTTGCTGCCCCACCCGTCCACCCAAGTATCCAAAGAGCAGGAATCTCGACCAGTAGTCTCCTGAATGACAAAAGCCAGGGTTTCCATCAGCAGTGAGCAATCCAGGACTGGACTAAACCATCCTGCATCACTGCACAGTATAACGTATCTTGGAATCAAGTTTCCACATTTTCATACCTGAGCCAAGGCCAAGGGAAGGAGTACATTATAGGCACAAGCACCCTACAGTGTCAGGAGACAGCTGTTACCTTACAAATGCCTATAGGTTAGCTGCATGCAGAGTCCCCTCCAATCTAATAAATTCGACCATAGGAATCTAAGAAGAGTACAAATGGCAGCTGGATGTGCTGATCTCTGTTTTTACCCTAAGCCCTGATGAAAAGAAAGTGGGGAAAGTGGGAGAGAAGGCTGGGGAATCCTGCTGAAGATTCCTTACAGACATACTCCCATCAATGCTACCATTAAAAACATTTTTTTAGACAGCCATGGTGACACACACCTGTAATCCCAGTACTTGGGAAGCTGAGGCAAGAGGATCTCAGCAAGTTCAAGGACAGCCTTGGCTACACGGTAAATTCAAGGACAGCCTGAACTACACAGTGAGACCTTGTCTCAAAAAAAAAAAAAAAAAAAGAAGGCCGGGCAGGAGGACCTTTCTGAGGTCAGTTTGGACTATATAGTGAGTTCAAGACTGGCCTGAACTACACAGTGAGACCTTGCCTCAAAAAACAAAACAACAAAAAAATATTTTTTGAGGCTCTGCAGGGTAATTTCTCCCTCATTCAATGTCACCTTTTCACCTTTCCTTCTAATCAGCTTTTCTACCCAAAGGACCCAGAATCAGGAACTAGAGCCGAAGCCATACAGGGTGGCACAAGCCTGTAATCTCAGCATTTTGGAGGCTGAGGCAGGAGGATCACCATGAGTTCGAGCCAGTCTGGGCTACACAGTGAATTCAAGGCCAGCCCAGACTACACAAGAGGACCCCGTTTCAAAAACCAAAACATCCAGGCATGCTGGTACACACCTGTAATCCCAGCACTCAGGAGGCTGAGGTAGAAGGATTGCCCAAAGTTCAAGGTCGGCTGGGTCTACATTGTGA